GTATGAGATAACTCCAGAACCATGGAAATCAAAGTTTGATGAAAAGATGGAACTATTATTAACTTTATTAGTTGAAAAATTACAAATTGTTTTTGAAAAATTTCATCAAGGAGAAACTATTCAGCAATTAGAACAATTTGGAATAGTAAGTATAATTAAAATATTAAGAAGGTGTTGTGAAATTGACTTATTTCAATTTCATGTAACAGAGTTAATGAAAACAAATAAACAAAATTATTATTGTAGGATGACACTATTAGATAAAAGTCGTAAAATAGGAATAGATGAATTCTTAATTGATATGTGTATGATAGATTGTGAAGTATTTGTTGATGAGTTATCTCTTTTTGTTATGGAGTTATTAACAGATGATAAAAATACAGATAGGTTATATGAACCATTTATGGATGATTTGATTTATATTATGAATAACGAAACATCTTCAAATTGTATGAATGATGTTTTTATGAAATTAATATGTCAATTTACTTCATGTAAACAATTTAATGAAAAATATTTCTTTGGAAATGTAGCAAGAGGTGTTTCATTTATTGGGGTTATTTCTAAATATTTCAGACAAGATGCACCAACAATTTCATTGGATAGTCCAAAAATTACTTCAATGAATTATTACACAACTGAACTTTCAACAATTGTAGCATCTAATCCATCTAAATTATTCTCTATTCCAATGCTATACCAAGAGTATATTAGGTGCTTAGAATCAATAATGTTTTATCACGAAGAATTAAGAGAACTACACCAACATGTTCAGTATGAAAATTTATGTGATTACTCACCATTTTATTCTAAACAAGTATTACTTGGTATCGGATTCATGTGTTTAAACAGTCTTAATAAAGACCAATTATTAAATGTAATTCAAGACATTACTCAACGTTATTTAAAATTATATAATATGCATGTTAAATGTTCACATCCAGATGTTGGAATTAACCAACCTATTTCAATGTATTATCCATTATTAACACTTTTAGTTTATGCAATTTCATTAACAGAGTCACCATTTGAAACATTCCAAAGATTACCATCTCCAAATTTATTATTAACATATCCAATTATTTTTCATCAGTTTTTAACTGAATTAAGTTATGACCAGTTATGGACTAGAAATGGTCAGTCTGTAATGCTTAAAACTATTTGTTGTCTTCCACAATATCCAGAACAGTTAATGTCAGACATTTTTCTTCTTCAACTTGCTTCATCTAAAACAGAAGAATTACTACAACTAATGATTCCTTTATGTAAAATTGATAGGATCGATGAAATAATTGAAAAACAAAAAGAAGTTAGTAATGAATGTCCTAAATCTGTTCCAAGTGAAATAGTTGCTGGTTCTATTAATTTATTAAAAACAATAAATAATATGTTCTCTGATCCAATGCTTTCAAATAAACTTAGTCAAAAACAAGAAGTTATTTATTTGTTTATTCATTGTCTTGCTTCAAGACAAACTAATGTGTCAGACATCAAAAAATCAATTCCATCAAATGTAGATGGTCTAAGAGATATGGACGTTGAAGACATATTTTCAGAAATAGTTGATCTTAAACAAAAGAAATGTTATTTAAAAGAAGAGTATTGGAAATATGTTAATCCTTATTGTCCTTATATTACTAATGTTAGCAGAGAAGTTGTATGTGAAGAGTACTTAAAAAAAATGAATAAATCACTTCCTTGTATTTATCAAATTGAAAAAAGAGATCCTACACTTGAATCATGTTTACTTCATTTGCTTCATTCACCAATTGTTACTGACTTGTGTTGTAAATTAATTATAGGATGTCATGAATGTAAAGTAGTTAGTCTTGTAGAACATTTATTAAGACTTCGAGCTGCTTACCATGAAGGAATTACTTATGATAGTTATCATAAAAATATTTTAACGAATTTAGGTGAAATTCTTGCTAATCATAGAGAATGGAAAGATGCGTCAACAATTAAATTGTGTAAAGGAACATTATTAGAAGATGTTTTTAAAGGGTATGAAAGTGTTAATGGCAAAGAAGTTAAACAATCAAATGATTCAAAATCAAAAAAATTAGCACTTTTAAAGAAGATGGCACAAAAACGTGATAATTTCCAAAAGGTATCTATTGTTGACATTGAAAAAGAGGAAGTAGAAGAAGACACAAAAAAAGAAGGATGTATTATTTGTAGGTCATGTGAAGATTCAGAAAATGATCCGTTAGGATTCTTAGGACATATTGAAGCAACTGACGCTATTCGATCTGCGGAATATGCAGAAAGTATTGAAGGTGTAAGAGGAGAAACAAAAGAAGAGTACTGGAAAAAGCCATTAGGATTAATTGAAGGAGAATGGAAATGGAAACCCAAAAGAAACTATAATTGGGATGTAACAAAAGATGATCAAGAATATCGTGTTCTTTCTTCTTGTCCTCATAAAATACATTTAGAGTGTTATTTAAAAGATTATGAAGATAGTGGAAATGAAGAAAATTATTATCTTTCAAAGTCTGTGTATTGTCCATTATGTCATACAATATCAAATGTTTTTATTGAAGAACATCAACCAATTTCTGTTAAATTAGGAGATCCATCTTTTGAAGGTATTGATAGTATTATAAGTCAATGTATGAATTCTATACCAGAATCTGTTTCGTCATTTAATAAAAGTGTAAACCATACATTATCTAGAACATTAACAGCTACTGTTCGTTCTGGAATACAAAATCCAGTTGAGTGTTCATTTTTATCAATGACAAGTATAGTTTCATCAACTGTAATGTCTCTTGAAATTCAAATGCGTTCATCTCAACCAACTAGATATGAACATCAATTAAACACTTTATATTCGTATCTTCAAGTCATTAAAAAAATTGCAACAAACTTATCTATTCAATTTAGAAAAGATGTTTTAGAACAAATTTGTAAATTCACATCATCAAGAAATCCTATTCTTCAATTATTAAGGTGTTACGTTTTATTTCCTGAACATTGGCCAACATTCTTAGCATTAGCTGATATGCATGAATTGTTGGCAATTTATAGTGAAATTCAACAATTTAGTAAATTTACTCCACCAATTAATTGTAGTACTATTATAAAACAATCAGAATTACCTCAATACTCAAAATTCTCAACGGAAAATCAATTAGTTGATGCTCTTGCTCAAACTTATCTCAGAAGAATTGCTATTTTAAAAGATGTGCTCACAGTATCTCCAGAACCTTTAAAAACTCATTACGATTTCCCTATTCATGAAACATTAAAAGTATTAAATGAAAAGAATTGCCGGTGTGTTGGTTATATTCAAAGACCTACAATTCCTCAACCATTTAAATTTATTTCATTACCATCAACCTATCAACAATTAATTAATGAAGTACTAAAAACACGTTGTTGTGTTTGTGGAATTGAAGCTTCTAAAATTATTTATAATTGTGCTATTTGTATGACATGTGGGTGTTTATTATGTTATAAAGATAAAAAACATCAAGACATTATCCATAGTGAAAGACCAGTTTTTGAACATATGGCTAAATGTTCTGGAGAAGTTGGTATCTTTTTGGTAGTTCATTCTGCTATTCTTATTATCATAACACCAAGAATGCATGCTCAAATTAATGGAATATATGTTGATAGATTTGGTGAATCACCAGACTCAAGTTATCTTACTAAAGAAATGTATGCTTTGAATACTCAACTAATTGAAAAGATAGAACGATTCTATCTCAATGGAGAAGTATCTTCATCACCAGAACTCACATTTTATGTCCCGAAACTTCATTAATTCTAAAAATTTATTTCCTTCTTTTAATTTTTTATATTTTTTAATTAAAATAATAAATAAAAAGTTCAGAGTAACTATGAAAGAATCATCAAGGGAGATTATTTATCCCAGGTAATATTTTCAAAACGAGAATACTACCACTTCTTTTAACAAAGAATCCTTTCTATTATTCATAAAGTCCTCATCATTACATTAATTAAAAAATAATATGATAAAAAGAAAAATATAAAATTTATAAAAAAAATTGTGGTTTAAGTATTCCTCTATAAAAGAAAATATAAAATTATTTTTTTATTATAAATAAAACAAAAAATAGATTTTTTGTTATTAATAAAAACCCTTTAATAAAAAAAATAAGAAAAAAAGAACTTTATAAAATCAGTCCTTCGTAATGGTCATAGTTCCAAAGGCCAGAAAGACTTATTGCCCAAGATGCAATAAGCATACTACACACAAGGTTTCTCAATATAAAAAGGGAAAAGATTCACTCCATGTCCAAGGTAAGAGAAGATATGACCGTAAGCAACAAGGTTTTGGAGGTCAAACCAAGCCAGTTTTCAAGAAGAAGGCTAAAACAACAAAGAAGGTTGTCTTGAAAATCGAATGTACTAAATGCAAGTATAAGCTCCAAAAATGCTTAAAGAGATGCAAACACTTCGAACTTGGAAATGAAAAGAAGGACAAATAAGCAAAATATCTTCGATTTAAATTTGTTTTTAATTTTTTATTTAAAAAGAAAATGAAAAATATATAACTTTTTTAAATAATTTAATGTTATATAAAACAAAGAAAAAGAAACCTATTTTAAAATAATAAAAAATTAAGAAAATAATAATATAATTTATTAGATTCAAACTGAAAAAACAACCCTATCTCTTTGCAGAAGGATGTCTATCAAGTTTGTTATACCATTTGTTCAATTGTAGAAATAAGAATTTTATTAACTAAAGTAGAACTCAAGTCTGTGCTTTCAGTGGTTTCAAAATCCCAGTTGCCAAGGGACGTAAATATGTACGTTTAGACCTTAAAAGTTTCACTTTCATTAACAAGAAATCCCTTATGCAATTCTTGAGAAAGACCAACCCAAGAAAGGTTTTCTGGACTGCCATTTATAGACAATTAAATAAGAAAGGACAACAAAATGAACTTGTTGAAAAGAAGAAGACTAGAAGAGTAATTAAAGTTAATAGAGGATATGCTGGTATTTCTGCAGAGGAAATTGCTAAGAGAAAGCAAACTCAATCATCTGAGGTTCTTGCCAAGAAGAGAAATGCGGCTATTAAGGAAATTAAAGAAAAGAAAGCTGAAAATGCCGCAAAGAAAGAAGCTGCAAGAAAAGAAGCTAAGGCTAATGGAAAGAAGGCCACCAATACTTATAAGAAGTCAAATGCTAAGCTTCCAAAGGCTGGTCATGCTAACTTCAATTCTAGATGAGTAAATTAACATTCTTACTGATTATCGAATTTAAAAAACTACATTGTTTTAGGTTTCTATTTTTTGAAGTAGTAAAGAAATTAATGCTTTTATTTTAATTTTTATAAACATAAGTATTATAACATAATTTTTAGAATAATTCACTTTCTTTAAAAGTTTTTGAGTTTGTAATATACAAACCACTACAACCACTTCGTTTCAACTATTTAAAGACCACCTTAAGAAATGGTTATTGGTCTTATTGCTATAAACTTAAAAACATTCACACAACCGATAACTTCTATTATATTTTTTTAAACCAAAGGGTATATAAAATGATTACTATATTCTACTGTTATTTTTTATTTTATTCTTTTTTTATAATTATAAAATTCTATTTTACAGGTATTTATTGGTTGTTAGTTTATTACTCATAGTAGTTGAAAGAATAAAAGGAGAGCTAATGAGTGAAATGCCTTTTCTTCAAAAGGAAACAGATTTTCATTCATATGTTTTACTACTTAAATACAAATATTAAAAGGATAGTTTGTGTAGAAGTGATATACTCTTTGTAAACAAAATATGAAGATATTAATAGTCATTATTATAAATAAATTGTATACGTTTTCCATGTTTTTTTACGTGATTTAGTAGGAGTGATATGCATTTGTCATAAGTTAATTGATTTATCTTTATGAAATATAGCCTAATAAACACTCAAGAAGAAACGTGTGAAACTTATTATGAAAAAACTTTACATTTTAACATAATATTACTGTATCTGTGTTTATCCCTTTTTATCAATTAAATTTTTTTAATAAAAACCAATAAAATATAAAAAAGTCAAACAAAAAAACTTAATTAGTTTTATGTTTCATGCATTTGTATGGATATGGATCAGTTCCAATAGATCCATCAATATCAATAAGATATTCTTCACTTGAAACATATTGAAGTTCTTCTTTAACAGCAATAATTTGTTTATTAAGAGTTTCAGCTAATCTTGGTTTTTCGGTAATTGTCTTATTCAAATAAGCTAAGTCTTTATTTAATTTATTAATTTCAAGTTTTTGTCTTGTAATTAATCTTTCTTTATACCATTCACTATTTAGAACAACTTCTGGGTCAAACATATCTCTAAATTCTTTTGATTCACGTGTCATTCCATTATATTCACCATTTGCCATAATATAAATAAGTGCTTTTAATGGTGGACATGCTCCTTCAACTGTTCCATCTTTAATATAATTCATAGCAACTCCTTTATCAGTTTGTTCAATATATTCATATGAATCTGCATAAATAGCTAAATCTTGTAATTCTGGTTTAAGGAAATCTTCTGGCATAACAGAATTTGGCATAGAGAATAATGTTCTCAAGAAATGGTTAGCAAATGCAGTAGTAATTCTATATCCAAGTCTTTTTCCTGAATATGTTTTTCCATTATAAGTAACATCAGGACATGGTTCAAGATATCCATGTTCAATTAAATATTTTGGTTCTTGTTCATATCTTCTCATCTTTGACCAAATTTCTGGAATTAATAATGAAATGTCATGTGCAACTTTATAATGTGGTCCACAATATGATGCAGATGATACAAATCCTGAATATCCACAACAAATCATTCCAAGAAGATAATTATTTAAATCAACTACTGCTGGAAGTGAATTAAATGGTCCTTTAGTTAATGCTCCTTCAGATCCTGCTCCAAACATTGATGGTGATGCACCTGTCATTGAAGTAATACATTCCATTAATAATTCTGGTAATTCAAAATAATGTAATGGTGCAAAAACTGATAATGGTCTTAATTTCATACCATTTTTAGCTACTTGTGGTGGATTATTTCTTCTTCCTGAAAGAACTGCATCTACTGGAGTATATAATGGTTCTTCATCACTAATTTTTCTAAATAATTGAATAGCTTTAAATGTCATATATGTATTCTCTGGATCTAACATATCTGGTCTTCTTTGTAAATATCTTGGATTCTTTGATCCAACAAGTTTGTCACCTTCTTGAACTAATCTAGTATAAGATGATGAAACAATATATTTAGCTTCATCTTTACCTGCAACAAAATCTTGTAAACATTTTCTCATTGGTTCAGTATATTGATATAATCTTACAACATCTTTAGTAAAATCTTTAGCTTCTTCTCTAGTCATTGGTTGATAATTAGAAATAAAATGTCCTGGAATTGAAAAATCATATTCAGTTTGTTTATCAAATCCTCTAAAAACGGCGTCGTCTGGTCTTTGGAATAATCTTAATTCACAATTCTTAACAATTTTACATGCTTTCTTTTGCATATTATTAATTGGTGTTTTAAGTAATTTAGTTGGAACAATAACTGATGCTGTAATATCATCTTCCATTTGTAATTTAGCAGCTGGGAAGAAATCTTTTCTTAATTGGAAAACTCTCCATGTAGTTTCATCACGTTCAAATCCAACTCTAAGATATTGTGAACAAAGATTAGCTCCTCTGTATTTTAATTCATTACCTTGATTTCCATTAATTTTATCTACAGTAATTCTTGATTGCCAGTCTCCTTTCCAATCCTCTCTATAAAGAGATTTAATAGTCATAACTAATTCTACAATTAATGGTGAAATAGATGAAATATAATCATTATGTTCTTTAGTAAATAGACGTGATGGTGTTAATAATTCAACAACTGTTCCAAGAGTAACATTTGGATCAAGGATACGAATTGGCTTAACTTCTCCATTTGCATATCTTTTAGAGAAGTCATGGTCAAAGATTTCTTGAACTGCTTTAAAATCTTCTTCTTTATTATTAACAAAGACACTTCCTTCAATAACAGCATCTGAAATATTCTTTGAAATTTCTGATTTTCCTCCTCCTGAAACAGTACATGGTTTATGACAAAGAGTATATTGTGGAAGAATTCCTCTTAATGTCCATCTTCTTGATGTCATGGTATCATGTAAAATAATAGTATAACCATTTGGTAAAACATAATTTACTTTTGGTATTAAAAGAATACTTTCTTCTTTTCCATTATGATTAAATTTAACTGATGCATCTTCAATAGTAAATATTGAATCTTCTGGAACATAAATAATTCCTTCTGGATATTTTTTATCTATAGCATATCCTTCTTCTTTAACAATTATTGATTGTTTATTCTTTTCAATCATTTCACTAAATTTATATCCTTCTGCATATTGAACACCTTTACATGCTTCTCCAAGATCATATGATGGTCTAGTTATAGCTCCTCCTGCATGTTCTTCTTCTGCAAATCCATATAAATTAGCTGAATATGAAATTTGTGTTTTAACTTCTTTCTTACAATATCCAAAATAATTATCTGCAATAATAGTACAAATAATTCCTGATGCATCTCTACAATACATTTTAAATGTTTTTCCATCATTATATAATTCATCTTCTTTTTCCCAACACATTCTTTCTTTTTTTTGTCTTTCTGTTGCTTGACTAATATGTGGAAGTCCACATTCTTTTTTTGTCATACGAGTAAGATGTGGTGCAAGAATAGCCATCCCACTATGTCCAGTCCATCCAAGTGGATCAAGTGCTGCATCATTTTTAGATAATCTAGGATTACCAGCATTTCCAAAAACTGATTCTACAAAATCAAGACATGAAACCATATTTCCTGGTACAAAGAAATGCATTTCAGTAGCTTTTTCATGTTCAAATCCTTTAACTCCTTTTACTCCTGGAACAACAACTGGTCTCATATAAAGTGAAACCCATGATTTTGTTGGTTCTTTACATTCAGCTGTATATGGAATAATAAGATGATCAGCTGGTGCTCCATAAAATGCTGCTTTAAGCATTCTTAAAAATGCTATTTTTGGACATTCAATTTTATCTGCTGGAACTGGAACATCACTTTGACAAATATGGAAAACACCAACTGTAGTTCTTTTATCTTTAGCTGGATTATGAAGTACTCCTTGTTTAATTTTATATGATTTCATTGTTTCACAAAAGAATTCTTGTTTATGTGGTGGAAATGATAATACTCTTCCAAGTCCTTCTCTATCAAGAATAAAAGTATTATCTGGAATTTTTGGTACTTCTTCTCCACATTCTGCAAAATATGAATTAAGAAATGTTTGAAGTCTAGCATCAATTGGTGCAGTAGTATGATTAACTTCACTCTCTTCTACTTCTTCTAATAAAGGACCAGCAAGTTTTAATCCTTGTTGAGTTAAATCATCAGTTGGATATTCATGTCCACTCATAGCCAACTTAAGATTAGCAAGACTCTCTAATTTCTTTTTATTTAAAACAGGATAATCAGTACCTTGTTCTTGATTAAACATTCTTTTTCTTATTTGATATATTTTTTATAGATTCACTTTTTTATTTTATGATTCTGCCAAATCTTGATGATTTGTGATAAGTCAGTTTATCTTTATTTCAAATTTTTCATCAATTACCTAATATTTTGGTTTTAATCTTTTGCACATCTCAATTTTCACTTTTTGACGTTGAATTATTTTCTATTTTGTACTACCAAAGTATAACTTTTTGATGTTATCACCTGATTTTGTTTATGAATTCTTCTTACTTTTACTTAAAATCTTTTTTTATATTTTTAGAATTCTATTTTAGTTGATTCGATCTTTCAGAGATTTAGACGTTATAATAACAAATAGAAGTTAACAATAGGAGCTGATAAAGTTTTTAAATAATTAGAAGATGAAATAGTTTTGTAAAATAGATAGGAAGTGTAATTTTCTGGTAAATATACTCTTAAAAAAAATGAGAAATAAATTAGTAATTAAATGATAATATATTTTTCATTAAAAAGTTATATTAAGGATCATTTTCAAATATTAGAATTTACTTTTCAAAAAGAAGCACAAAGAAATTTACATTTAATAAAAGAAAGGCCTATTTAATTGATTGGCAAGAACCAACACCAGGACAAATAATAGAAAAATAATTACAACTTCATTTTCCAAAAAAATGAATAAAATAGAATATAGAAGATTAGTTAAAATAGTTGGATTAGCACATGTATCACTAACAATATATAAAGAATTTATTTGGGGATTAATTGTTTCTAACAAGAAGTTTTATTTCAATGTTCAAAGATCTGAAATTGCTGTAGCAATTAATTGTTCATTAATTAAAATAATTAAAGGAAGAACTGTAAGTACCTTATCATATTAGTCAACTACAATTCTTCCTTTGTTACCTCAAAAAGAAAAATAAGGTTCATTAAAATTATTTCATATTTTTCTCTAAAGAATGAAAGATTATGGAATGCAAAAAAAATAATTCCCTTTATTAAAAAGTTAAATGAGAAGAGAAGTTATTATATTTCTTTCACCTAAAAATGTTCATAATAAAATATGTCTGTCCATTTAATTATTTATTAAATCAAAATAAATATAGATTTTTTGAAATTCTATTTAAAGATTTTTTATTCAATTAATATAAATACATCATACCATTTTATTAATTGAATTAATTGAATTATTTTTATATAACAAATGTCATGATGACAATAAAACATTATTAAAATGTATTAAAACTTTTAATTCTATTCATATTTTTTTGTTATTCAAATTCTTAATAAAAAATATTTTTAAATGTTGTAAAATTTTAATCAAATAATTGATACTGTCTATCATTGTTACAAATTACAAAATTATGATTTGTTGTTTGTATAGTTTCTTTATTTTTAACAACTTTAATTCATACATTCATAAAATATTTAATAATATTTTTCTATTTATAAAAATAAATTACAAAGAACTGATTGATTTTGCTTCTCTGATAATAATTAGTTAATATGGAAAAAAAAATTAAAGAAGAAGAAAACAACACCTCATGTTTCCATATATTGGATTATTTTGAGGTGATATATTATGTACTACAGATGGTATTAAAACTCAAACTGAAGACAAATTAATTTAATCTGAAATAGCACAAAATGTATTATCTTTTCAACAAAAAATATATCTTTTTAATGCAAGCATATTTTACAAAGCTATTTACATATTTTAAAGAAAATGAAATTAAAGAAAGTGATAAATTTGAATTATCAAGAAAAATTGAACCTCAAAATGAAAAAAGAAAAAGCAATTGAAATTTATGATAATTCTATTAATAAAAAATTAAAATTAAAGAAAGAAGTGATTTAATTAAAATTTCTTTTAGGTTAATAGGAATTAAAAGAATACTTTGTGTTAATGAAATGATAAATATAAGAGATCTAATTAATTGAATGTATTAAAAGAAAAGAAATTTGAAGAAAACAGGATTATAACAATTAAAAAAAATGATTATAAATATCTCTTTATTTATGATTCTAGCTGACATTCAAAATAAATATTTAAAATCAAATAAAGTTATTATATTGTTAAAAAAAAACAAAATATATTAGAATGAGAATATTAATTATAAATTAAATATTCCTTTAGATATTTCTTTAACTATAAATGAATTAATTTCTATTATTATTATTATTTTATTTGACATTATAATAATTCATTATTTTATTCATTTATTAAATTGAAAACCTGAAAATTCTATTAACACGAACCTTCTCTTTATAGATATATTACTAATACTTCAACAACTCTTTCACTTCTTTATTCTTCTTTTACAAAAAACTTAAAAGAATCTTTTATCTTCTTCTTATTTCTATCATTACCAAGTTATATCAAATAATTTACCACTTCAAATCGTTCAGCTCATCTATTTATTGTTTTAAAATCTATTAGTTTAATTCATATTTTTAATTTATCTTCAGTTCAACGTATTTATATTCCCTTATTAGATAAACTGTATTTAATCACAAAAAATAATATTTGTATTAAAGTTCATCCTTTAGTTATAACACGTTCTCGAAAACTTTCTCATTAATTAGTTATTTGTATCATCAATCATTGGTGTTATATGGCATAAGTGTAGAATATCTTCTTCCAAATTCTTATAGATTGCATAAACTATTCTTCTCATTCTATGAAACTATTTATTTGCACCATTCATATAACGATAATTTTTTAGTAATTTTGATGTATCAGCTACATCAGATTTATTAATAAATTATGAATTAGGAAATAATATTGATCTTTTTTTCTGATTCAAGCTCTGAATTAGGAGGTGCTTTATTTTTATATTTATCATCACTTAAAACCCTGTTGTTTGGACGTTTGTCTGATTGTTTATTATTGGTTCATGACTTATGATGATGAGAGTTTACTTTTTTATTTTTCATTCATTTTAAAAAAAAATCTCATTTAGAAAGTTTAATCTCAACACCTTAAATTTTACTTAAATAGGTTGAAGAAACAATGTCTTTGACTATCATTCGTGCATTACTAACTTTATTTATTCTTGAGCTAAAACAAAATCCATCAATATCTCTTCATTAATTCATTTCACAAAATTTTTTATTAATGAAATTAGTCTATAATTAACTAAGACTATTTTTTAATTATCTCACCAAAATTTAGATGGTTTTGTTTAAGGATTGTACATCCTATATCACTTCCTTCTGCATCCATATAACCTTTTAGTTAACTATATCATTCAATAAATATTTGATGAGATTGATTACAAACCAATGAGTGCTATTAGTATAAAAAGGTGTCCTTATAACGAAACTAGAGCACTTTTGATGAAACAAAACTCTTTCCAAAAACTCATTTAACACATCTAAGAATTCGTTCTATAACCAGAATTGGAGATAGAAAAAATTCAAATCTATGTCTTATAAATAACGTTTTAGAGAGTTTAATTTTATTTTTGATTATATTCACAGTTTTATTTGTTAAATATCCCTTTCTTTGATGATCTCATTAACCAGATAAAAAAACAAAACGAGATATAATAAGAATATGACAAAATATGCTATAATTATTATTTATACTCATAAATTTTAATAAACTAAAAAACATTTAATTATATGTCAGTTTTGTTTATCACTGCTTTTCTAATAACATTCTCACTTTCTAAACAAACAACTAACACAAACAAAATTTTAAAAACAGAGTTTGAAACTCATTGGAAAAAATGGAAAAGTGACAACAAGAGAATATATAATTCTATATCTGAAGAACTAACTCGTAAAGCAATATTTCTTTCAAACCTTAAAAAAATTAATGAATTAAATTCACAAAGAATTGATCCAGATGACGCTGTGTTTGGTTTAAATGCTTTTAGTGATCTAAAACCTGAGGAATTTTCAAGAAGATTTAATAAAATTAACTTAAAGTTACTTAAACTAAAACAAAGAAATCATTACAAACTTCCTGTTCCAAGTGGAGAGGTTCCCACACAATATTCTGCCTGTCTTCAAGACATGTTGTTAGACAAAAACTCTTCAAACGAAATAGATTTATGTGGTGGAATAGTGATTGACCAAGGTGACTGTGGCAGTTGTTACGCTATTTCGAATGCACATGAACTTCAACTAAAATATGCTAATTTAACTTTAACTCAAAGAGGAAAAATTGAATATGAAATGTTCAGTCCTCAACAACTTATGGACTGTACAGAAAATAGTTATTATTGTGAAGGTGGTACAGCAGATGAACCATTAATGTCTTCCCATTATGTTGTATTTGAAAAGGACTATCCATATATTTCTTATTCAAACACGTTAATTAATAATTCTTGTGTCCATGATAAACTTACACCAATGAAGGTTTCATTTTCATTATTTGATTCAGCACAGAACTTTGAAATTTTAAAAAGAATAACATATTATTATGGCTCTTTTGTCACCTCTGTAAAAGCATCATCTGATTGGTCATACTACCACTCTGGAATTTATTCACATAGTTGTACAAAAAATGTTGTCACTAATCATGTTATTGAGATAGTTGGCTACGGTAATCACAATGGAAAAGAATATCTTATTGCTAGAAATTCTTGGGGAAAAAACTGGGGTATTGATGGCTTTATAAAGATTTCTGCCAAATCACTCTGTGGAATTGGAGGTGATGATGGTGGAATTTATCCAGTATCTCTTATCCAACACACTGACTGTTTGTTATTTCTTAACTTTGTATTTCTTATTTATTTTATTTACACACTTAGTTAGTGATGTTCCAAAAGGTAAATACGGAAAAAAGTCATATAAACAAGAAGTTCAGCCGAAGTTATATAATGGAACTGATAAATATGATATTTATGAACAATTTCCTGATTCTTCAGGAGATTCATTCATTGACATTATTATCAGTTTTATAGTTACAATACCATTAGTTGTTGGTTTAATTTCTTGGGCAATTTGTGCAATTGTCATTTTGATATTATCTTGTGTTTTTTATTTGAATAAAAACTAATTCAATTTTTTAAACCCGCTTCTTCTATTTAGTAAAAGTAATAAAAAAAATCACTTAAATTAATTCTCTGGAACTTCAATTTCTCCATTGTTAATTTCTGCAATTACTTGTTTTGGTGATTTCTTATCAACTTGGCATCCACATGAATTGCATGTTCCAAGAATTTCTTTAACTGTTCCTGCAAATGTCTTAGCAAGTGATCTTGGTCTCATTGTTCTAGCAATTTCATAAACATCGTCCATTGAAATAGATCCTGAATGAACTGTTGGAACTCCTTTATTCTTCTTTCTGTCCTTTGGTGGTTCTTTAAGTGCTTTAAGAATAAGAGCAGCAGCTGATGGAATAACTTCATATGTAGCTACTCTGTTAACAACAGTAATCTTAACTGTTACTCTCAATCCTTTCCATGCTAATGTTGATTTTGCAAGGTCATCACCTGTTTTCTTTGGATTAAGTCCAAGAGGTCCAACCTTTGGTCCAAGAGATGCACCTGCTGCTGCATCACCTGCAACTACTTTAACAACTAATTCTTTCTTTTCATTTGGATTTGGTTTAGGTGGCATGGAGAAAGCTCTTGTACATTTTATAGTTCATTTATTTTACTTATCAATTATCACCCTTTTTCTTTCTTTTGTGTTTTAGGGTTTCTTCTTTTTTTGTGTTTTTCTTTCCTTTTTTTTTAAATTTTACTAAAATCAAAAATAAACGTCATTATAATTGATAACATATTAATCTTTCAAGACAAAAAATGGGTATTCTCTTAAGCAAACAACCAGACACTCACTTTCAACAACAGCAATTCGAATTACAAGTACAACGAGATGAACTTATTAAGTTAGAAAAAGTATATCAAAGTGATATTGACAGAACAACTAAAAAAGCAAAAGAATGGTACAGAAATGGAGAAAAAGAAAATGCCCTTAGACTAATAAAATTAAGAAAAATTCGTGAAAGTAATTTAAAGAAGATCCAGTCTCAACGCGATAATCTTGAAGCTGTCGTTTGTTAATGACATACACTTTTTTAGTCATACCCTTTTTTTCTTTCAAAATTTCTTTTCATTTTAATCGGTTTTATCACATATCTCGTTCAATCAAAAAGAAAAAGTCAATGAATTTAAACAAAAATAATCAAGTAGTTAATAGAGTTGGACGCTTCAAAAAGAAACCTTGAAATAGCAGAATTAATGGAAAAAGGTAATAAAGAAATACAAAAAATATTAAGTCAAATACCTAGAGAACGTGTTGAGGAGATTATTAATACAAAGAAAGAAAATAGCGCTAAACTAAAGGAACTTGATTCCTTGTTTGAACAATTCAATGATATAGGTGATGAAAATCAAATTGAAAAAGAATTAAACGAACTTTCTCAAGAAATTAGTGCTGAAAAAGAAGGTGATGTAGAAACAATGAAAAGTGAACTTATTGCTGAGTCATTACCAAAAGTTAATGTTCAAAGTGATGTGTCAACATCTAAACGAAATATAATAACAGAAACTATTTAATACTTCTCTTATTAACATTTTTTTTCACAAATTTAAAAAAGGATATTAAAAATAAGGATAAAAAATAAAAATCAATTCTATTCAAACATGTTGAAGAATCCTTCCCTCCATTTTATCCTTCAATTGATTTTCTTACACATCTTCTCACTTTTTTCTTAAATTCTTCTCTGTTGTTTCTCCATTCCACAGCAGCATCAACGTTTGCTGGACTTTCATCATTAGGGGCAGAAAGCATGGAAATTACACTAATTAAAATTGACTCTACGGAATGTATTGGGTTCCATCTTTCAGCAGCACTTTCATACCCAAATTCATCTTCTCCAGGTGGGTGAAGTATAGAAATACAAACATCACCTGTTTTGTATACGTTTGGGTGCCAAATCTCTGAAATAAATTTCATTTTTGGTGGGTTGTTAGGGTAATCTTTTGGGAAAGTCAGTGTGGCTTGAAACATTCCTCCTTCATAGTATGTGTCTGGAGGACCAACAATCATTACTTGCCATACATAAATGTCTGAATCGTTAACTAATCCAACTGAAAATCCATCTACTGGATTTTTAGTAAGTTCTTGTAATTGTTTAGCTAAAATAAGGGCTGACTTGTTTGCCATTAAGCAGGATAAATTGATTTTAGTTCAGATTACGTTTCAATTAAAAGTTGCCACTTTTCACTTCGTTGCATTTTTTTTTCTCCCGAAAAATTTTGGATTTTTTTCTTTTTTTTTAAACATTTTTATCTTATAATATTTTAATTAATTCAATCAACATTATAAATTAATTATTTATATTTAGTTTAAATTATAAATAATAATAATTTTTCTATTTATTAATAAAACCTTTGCTTTCAATTAATATTTTTTTTTATGTATTATTATTTCATGTTTTGAGAATTTACTTAAATTTATTATTAGTTTTATCACCACCCTTTGTTTTGTAATAATTTTGTATTCTTGTGTTTATTTAGTAGTTCACATTATCGGACCTCTCATTTCGTATAATTGATATAAACATTTCATTACATAATTTATACTTTTTGTTTTATAATAAATTCTACCTTTCAATTTTTGACTAAAACTTAGACTAAACTTTCAAACAATTCTTTCTCTTCTGTTGACTCATTACAATTATATTTTAAATTTATTTGTTTTGTTTATACTTATTTCGTGAGAGGAAATTTTCTAAAGCATATGATAGTATTAATCATCAATGGGTTAAATATTGTTTAATTTATTTTAACATCACATTAGTTGTAATTAAAAGTATATTATATATATTAAATATTACACAACTATATTTATATTATAATCAACAAAATGTAGGTATAATTAATGTAGAAAGAGGAATAATACAATATGATAGTTTATCTAAATTATTATTTATATTATCTATTGATATATTATCTAAACAATTAGATAAACAAATTAATAAATTATCTATTAAAATGAATTGAAAAGAAAAACAAGTCCAGTTAAATCACATATTATATATTGAAAAATAAAAGAAATAATATAAATATAAAAATAAGAAGATAGAAGGAAGAATGTATTAAGAAAGATGATTAAGAGATAAAAGAAAAATGAAATAAAAGTAAAATAAGAAATGAAGATAATACAAGAAATGATAAAAGTAATTAAAAATTATAAAGAAATACAAAATAAAAATGAAGAAATAAAAGAAACATTATGATAAATATAAAATGAAAAAAAAAGAAGTAAAATATGAAAATAAATATAATGGAATATGTAAAAAGTGTCATAATGAATTAAATTTAATTTATCAACAATTAATCATTTTATTAATAATATACTCACACAATAACTAATGAAATCAATATTAATCAAAGAAAAATATAAAATAAATTATAGAGAATGATATCAAAGCACAAATAAATAATGATAATATAAATATAAAAGAAAAAAAAACAAATTATTCATAAAATTCAACATGACATATATCACAAATAATTAAAATACCAAACAATACATGAATATTTAAACAACGGATTGAAAGTGAACAAGAAAAAAATGAAATATCTAGAAATATTATATATGAATCAACATACTCAAATCAATATCTAATTAATGAATTAAACACGTACAACATTGAATCATTTAATAATATACAAGAAACGATGGATAACATAGAGTATAATGAAATCGCAGCTTAGGAGAATAAATATTAAATAAACAAACAATTAATATATAATTTGATTATGTAATTATTATATAATTAAAATATTAAAATATCAACAATCATGTTGATTTTATTTTATTAGCAAAAAAATTTAATTATAATTGTACACATTAATTAGAATTAATGAATTTGATATACATATCGATAAAATTATATAATCAAATTAAAAGAAATATATGTATTAAAATTGATAATGAAATAAATATATAAATAACAGATAAATAACAATAAATAAGATATAGGATATTAATAATAAAAAAGGTGAATACAGAGAAAAAATAATATAGATAATAAAAAGAAAATAGAAGAGAAAATAGATAAAATCTATAATATATAAATATCAAAATCAAAGAATGATAATTAAATAAAATAAACAATGAATATTCATCTTAATACATTAAATGAAATTATAAATTATAAATATTCATTTTGGTAACAAAAAAAAGATATAAGAAAAAAGGAAGAAAAATGAAGAGAAAGAAGGATATAAAATGGTGAAATTAGGAAGTAGAAGAAGATAAAAAGAATAAAAGAAGAAATTTGAGAATATAAAAAGAAAGAAGATAAAAAAGAATAATTCAAAAAGAGATAATAAAATATGAAAAGAATGATGAAATAATGGTAGTATTCTTTATTATAGAAACTATAAATGTTCAATAAAAAAGTATCTAATCTATTGGTGCAAAAATAATTAACAATGTTTTATTGATATAATTTGTTTTATTCATTTTCTTTTTATGATTTTTATTCATGTGTACAATTTATTAACTTATTTCAGTTCCCAAATAATACAAAGAAATAGAAAATATAAATTTACAATATCACTTCATTGTATAGCATCAATAATTGTTTAATCATAATTAATTATAAAAATATTTATTACCATAAGATAATATTAAATCTACAAGAAGAATATAAAAATATCTGCAATCTAACAAACAAAATAAAACATTTATTATGACATAATTAATGTATAAAATTAAAATATAACAACAGTCTATTTAAATAGATATAGATTATTATAAATTAAGAAATATAAATATGAATAAATAGAAACTATTCTATTTGGGATACATGTTGTTGATTTAATCATAATTTATTAATAAAAATTAAAAAAAATACAAAATGATATAATGTAATAACAATAATAATGACAATACAAATCAAAAAAAGATGATAGGTATTAATTATATAATAATGATAATTGTAATGATATAAATTTACAACATATTCACATCAACTAAATACTTTAATAATAATGGGGGATGATAAAGAATCTAACAATAATTATAATATTATAACTTCTCAAAATAATGAAAACATTAATAAACAATTAAATGTCATTAGTTA